TATATATAGAGAGAGAGAGAGAGAGAGAGAGATGAGGAGACCTACTCAAGTACAATATATACTAATACTTACATACTTAGTCATAGAGTTCAAGCTTAGACTCTGTAACTATGGATTCTACCAACACAGATGAGCTTTCATTCGAATACTTACATACTTGGAATAGCTGTTGGTCCATACATCTGTACAGCAGTGTATATTATAAGCACTGTGGTGACGTTGAATTCTGTTGCTTCTATGGAATAAATTGTTGGCGGTTTCTGAAAAAAATCCCGCGTGTCTGATGATCTTATCTAAGTATACGTACATGTAGTAAATTAACACCGTAAATAATTTCATCAGGTTGGTAAACGACTGAATAGCATAGACTTGTACATGACTATATGGAGTAATCCTTACAGGTCCACCTTTCAACTTTTAACCTCGACCTGTGTATCCGCCATATTGTTTCTTGTTGGTTGTAATTATAAACTGACACTGTAAAATTCTTAGACATTTGGCCGTTTTGACGTCTTTTCTGGTGACAAAGAAGGAGACAAGAAGAAGCAGGTATGCAAGGGTGGATTTGGGGGGTCCATGGACCTGTTGGTAGGTTAGCTGTATAGCTATTAATAGTGAGATCTGTACGCGTACGCTACTTAGATTGATATTCTATCTTCGATGGCGAACAGTCCTGTTAATCTAAAAAGGAAAAATGACACTGTATATCAGGTGAACTGGTCAGAAAGAGATTTTGTTCGTGAATTTCCTTAGCTTCCTATCCATGTACTAGGCATAAATCTTACGATACGATTACGATATGCGCTACCATGCGATGACATTTGGGTAATCAGGCGTAGGACTGTAACCTTTGACATATGTCATGACTCCAGCTTGTTGTGCACTGGAGCTGGCCTGTGTAGGTCCTGGGAAACGAGTCCGGCATCCAGGCTAGCACTGGAGCTGGAGCTGGCCTGTGTAGGTCCTGGAAACAGTCCGGCATCCAGGCTAGCACTGGAGCTGGAGCTGGCCTGTGTAGGTCCTGGAAACAGTCCGGCATCCAGGCTAGCACTGGAGCTGGAGAGCTGGCCTGTGTAGGCCCGGTGGGAAGAGTCTAGCATCTCTACTCGTGTAGTTTAACCATTTTATATAGTAACTATTAGGTGTAGGTGAGTCTTAGGTAAGTTTAACTTTAACTTTATTCGTCAAAAACAACATTGCAGGCTGAAACAGCCTGAATTGTGTTGTAAATTCACATTCACATTTACAATTATTGGAACATTTTAGCGTTAAAAGATTAAGTGTTAAAAGAAGTATATCCGACAATGCCGTAAGTACGAAATATCGATAACACATTAAAATATAGACAATAATTGAGTGAAACAACTTTAAGATACAAAATATCGATAACACATTAAAATATAGACAACAATTGAGTGAAATAACTTTAAGATACAAGTACAAGGAGGCAATAAGATTTTTTTTAAGTCTATAGTGTCCTTCAGATTTTTTTCAAAAGTCTATAGTGTCCTTCACGGCTGCATGATGTTGAGTGATCTGGGGATGAATGATTGTCTATGTCTCTCAGTACGGCTAAGTGGGATCTTGTAGCCGGAAGTTTGACGGCGTAGTTGGTAGGTTGTCGGTCTACCCGGCTCAAGGAACTGCTGGCAAGGGTGAGTGGCATCCGCCATCGCCCTCCTGAGTCGTTAGGGTGGAGGTTTTGAATTGATGCCGTCACTTGCCTTCTTTTAGATGAAAATTAAGGTGAGGGTTAGGTCCTAAAATAGGGTTTAGATTAGTCTTAGGCCAGCTTCAGGAGGCAGGGTGTGGGTTAGTCTTAGGTCCTAAAATAGGGTTTAGATTAGTCTTAGGTCAGCTTCAGGAGGCAGGGTGTGGGTTAGTCTTAGGCCAGCTTCAGGAGGCAGGGTGTGGGTTAGTCTTAGGCCAGCTTCAGGAGGCAGGGTGTGGGTTAGTCTTAGGTCAGCTTCAGGAGGCAGGGTGTGGGTTAGTCTTAGGCCAGCTTCAGTAGACAGGGTGTATGTTAGTCTTAGGTCCTAAAATAAAATCATTGGACTGAAAGCCTGTCCTTTTCTGTATACGTAAGACGAAAGCGAGAACTAAAGGCTGGAAAATCCTGTTGTATAGGATTCATCCAAAATAAGGCAACTGGCGGCATCAATTCAAAGCATCCACCCTAACGACTTAAAATGGTATTATAGCAATAGAAATCTCAGGATGGTGCAGAAATTACAGCAATCGCCAGACGGCGCCATTGTCACGCGGGGATAGCACCAGCTGACTGACAACATAATTATGTCCACAAGGACAAACGTATCAGCGCTGTACGACCATCTTACTGAATAACTGAAGGAAACGATATTTTACAATCTGCTGGTAGCGTCGTAGCCCTACCATCGTCGAGACACATTTTACGCCTCACTGATTTTTAGGTAAATATTCAGCTCTTTGGTGGCGCTCAAAGTTTGGAACTAACCACCCTCCCCTCAGCGCCTCTCTAAAACCGGTCGGACTTGAACACAGGTGAGGAGCGCATAGTTCAGAGGTTACAGTCAACTATCTTCTAACAACACTCGAT